ATTTCTTGATGAAGTCGATAGTTTAGCTGCTGGTCTTATTGATCTTGGATTTGAAAAAAATGATCGACTTGGTGTTTGGTTACCAAATACATCGGAAAATTGTGCACTTACATATGCAGCATCAAAACTTGGTGTGATTAAAGTAATTTAATTGATTTTGAAAAACATCTTTTTTTTTTAAATTTTGAAACTAGGTCAATATCAATCCAGCTTATATGGGTCGGGAATTAATTTATTCATTAAATAAAGTTGGTTGTAAAGGTTTAGTTATGAGACCAAATGTAAAAATAATTGATTGTATTAAAATCATTAATCATATTATTCCCGAACTTAGTCAAACAAAAGGTGAAATAAATTCAAAAACATTACCAACATTGAAGCATATTATATTAACACCTGGTGACAATGGAAACACAGTTAATACACCATCAGGTATGCATTCATATACTGAACTTATACGAAAAGGTGCAAATAGTAAACAAGACGAAAGACGTACACGTCAATCACAACTGGATGGTGATACTCCACTTGCTATTTTTTATACATCAGGTACAACAGGTCAACCTAAAGCAGCTACATTAACAAATTTTAACATGTAAATATTTTTAGTCAAAAAAAACATTTTTTTTCGTTTATATTTATTATTTTAGGTTAAATAATAATTTTCATCTTTGTTATATTTATCCACAGTATATGAGTCGTGTTTGTTGTCCTATACCGACATTTCATATATTTGGTGAAATAGCAGGTACATTAAATATCAATGTACCAAAATATTTTACAGTATTTCCATCGATATTACCTGATACTGTTGAAACAATGCGAGCTATACAAGAAGAAAAATGTACGGCATTAATTGGTGCACCCATTATTTTTCGTGATTTACTTGCAAATCCAAAACGAAAAGAATTTGATATGAGATCACTTTTATTTGGTATACTTGGTGCAGCACCTGTTAATCCAGTATTAGTTGAACAACTTGAACGTGAAATTCCAATAAAAATTATTTCACAAGGATACGGTCAAACAGAAAATTCGGCATCGATGGCAATGAGTGTATTTGCTGAAGATGATAAACAACGGCGATATATATCGGTTGGAAAAGCATTACCACGACTTGAAATGAAAATAGCAGATCCGAAAGGACAAATTTTACCAATCGGACAAGAAGGTGAAATTTGTTCTCGAGGTTTTAATGTTATGAGAGGTAAATTCGTTTTTGTTTATTAAAAATAAATTATTTTTTCGTTAATTATTAGGTTACTTTGGTGATGAAGAAAAAACACGTGAAACAATAACACCTTGTGGATGGTTGAGAACAGGTGATATTGGTGTTATGGATGAACTAGGTTATGTTTATTATCGATCACGTCAAAAAGAAATGGTTATTGTCGGTGGTATTAATGTATATCCAGTTGAAGTTGAAAATTTTCTCTTAGAACATCCAAGTATAGGCGAAGCACAAGTTTTTGGTGTACCTGATAAACGATATGGTGAAGTACTTTGTGCATGGATTAAACCAAAAGCAGGTACAAAATTGGATGATGTTGAAGAAGTCAGAAAATTCTTATCGTCAAGAGTGGCATTTTTTAAAGTACCAAAATATATTAAAATTATTGAATCATTTGCTCCATTTACTACACCAACAGGCAAAGTACAAAAATTTAAATTAACAGAAACAATGGCTAAAGAATTACCAGTATCATCATCATCATAAAATATGGAGCTTTTTCTTATATGTTAATACAAATATTTTATAATAAAAAAAAGTTACAGAAGATCAATGATATAAAAAATAAATATAATAATATAACAATCTTAATTCATATTTTTCATCATATAATTCTAAATAATGGTTGATATTGTATTTCATTGATAAACTATAATAAATCAAAAACAAAAATATTCATTCACTCTATTTTGATTTTCTATGGGAAATAAAACAAAAATTTAACTCATTGATTAGATGCAAGCAACAGAGATGAGTACAGAATAAAGACTTTACAACCTGCAAATTTACAGATTAAGTTTTGGCATTCAGAAAATAGCATTTTTCTGATAAAGCAAAAATCGCACAGATCAGCTTGTTACTTGTGGGGAATGACTCGGATAGGTCTCATTTTAATTTTCAAAGTGAATAGTAAAACTTGCGAATTTAATATTCATTAGTTTTTGATGCAATAAAATAGGAATTACTATTACTCAATATGAGAATATTATTCTTCTTGGAGTTAATGAATAAAAATAATCAATGTAGTGTATATCATTGATATTTTTCTCGTTATACTATACAAAACATCCTTTCATATCATTATCTCGATAACATTTCGACAAGAAAATTAATTAATACATGAACTTGACATTCTTTTTTTCTGACCTTTTAATAGAAAAATTAATTAAATGTTGATTTATTTTTATATAAATCCTATTTTCCTTTCCATCTTATTTACAAGTACATATACGTTTTTTTTTTCTTCATTTGCTTGTTCTCTATTCAAAATTAGATAACATAATCATTGTAGAATATATGACCGCAGCGAATTTTGTAATAAAGAGATAAATAAAAGAAAAAGAAAGATTGATAAGAGACATTTTTTTGTTGCTAAAAAGAGTAAAAGTTCACAAATGTTATATATATATATATATATATAAGAATTTTGAATTTGATATCAAAACAAGGTAGGTTTTTTTTATATCATAGAAGAACACTGAATGTTATGATACAATAATTTACTCCTGTTTGGATAAATATGATACTCGAAAAGTTTCATATACTATTGTTTATCATGGAAGTGGTTATGTATACTCAAATAAATATAATGAATTAATTAGTAAATATTAACTTATATCATAGTTTTACATACTTTTGTACTATAAATGAGATCACATTTCATTTGATTTGTTAGCGTTAATATCCAAAAGCACACGGAAGATTGAAGCACAGATTAATTATCGTATTTTAATACAGATTACTACCTTGAACTGAGTGCTGATTATTCACTTTTTCAATTCGTATATCAGAAAAAATATAGTATTTTTTGTTTTATAGTTAATCAATAGAAAGAAAAGCGCTGACATCATACAATTTTCAGTAAATACAATGAAACAAAAATTCAATTATTTTCTTCGAAGCTCTATCTGGTTAATTTTTTTTATACACGTGCAACTATAAATACATATTTTATACTTCTTTTTGAATGTAATAAAGTAAAACTACTATTAAGTTATGATATAACTTACTATGTACTAATTAATTCATTATATCTCTCTGGGTGCACATAGTCTTATGGCTATGTATTCTATAATACGAAATTTATTTTAGATATTTGCATTCGTAAGGATACTATCATGTCTACTACATCACAAACATTTGATCAAGTCCTTGCATCAACCTATGTAAATCTTGCTGATGAGCGTGTTGGTACTCAGATTATTTCTGTTACTGATGAATTTTTTGCTCCAGCAATTCGTATGCTTGATCCTAAACCAGCTGTTTTTCATCCAGGAAAATTTGATGATCATGGTCAATATATGGAAGGATGGGAAAGTCGTCGAAAACGTGTCGCTGGTTATGATTGTTGTATTGTACAATTAGGTTTAGCAGGAAAAATTGTTGGTGTTGATATTGATACAAGTCATTTTACTGGAAACTATCCCGTAGCAGCATCTATTGATGCATGCTGTATTGCTAAAGGAGAAAAACCAGATAATTGGCAAGAAATTTTACATACAGTTACATTAGGTCCAAGTGCTCATCATTACCATGCAGTTAAAGTTGAAGGTCATTGGACTCATGTTCGTTTAAATATTTATCCAGATGGTGGTATAGCTCGACTTCGTATTTATGGTGTAGTTCAACCATCAGAAGATCGATTTAATGATGAAATTGATTTATTAGCTCTTGAAAATGGTGGCCGTGCTGTAGCAGCTAGTGATGAACATTATGGAAATCCTTGGTCTTTATTACGTCCTGGACGAGGTATTAATATGGGTGATGGATGGGAAACTCGACGAAGACGTGTACCTGGTAATGAATGGTGTATACTTGCATTAGGTAAACGTGGAAGAATATCACGTATTATACTTGATACTGCTCATTATAAAGGTAATTACCCTGATAAATGCATAATTCAAGGAGCTGATGTTACAGTAGATAATAGTAAATCATTAGTTACTCAATCAATGTTTTGGCAAACATTATTACCTGAACAAAAATTAACCATGGACGCTATTCATACATATGATAAAGAACAAATTATTGACCTTGGTCCAATTACTCATCTACGAGTTAATATCATTCCTGATGGTGGTCTTTCTCGAGTGCGTGCCTTTGGTCGAGTTGAATAATTTCAATATTTCATGATGACTTAATACAAACATTTTGTTTTTTTTATAATATTTGAAAGCTTTGCATTTTATTTTAGTGATTTGAATAATAATAAAAAATATGATTATATCTTTATTCAAAAATTAAATCATCTTTTTATCTTGACATTTATCAAGAATATTATAACATCTAGTATGCCTTCTTTTTCTCTTCAAACTATACAATAATTTTTATCTCAAATAATTACGTCATGTAGATCTAAAGATTTTTTTGTTAATATTCTTGTCAACAACAGTCATCTATTAGTAAATATTTACGAAAAAAGAATTCTTTGTAATCATGTGCAATATACATATGTTTTAGATTATTATCTGATAAATTAGTTTGCATTTTGACTCATCATATAAATATCATACAAAAATCTTGTGACCTTTAGTATACTTTTTTTTCTTTTCTCTATGAGTTGACACGAGTGTATGAATCATATGCCAATATTTTGAGTTTTTATTAATGTGTAAATGAAGAAGACGTCGATTGCAAAAAAACAACCAGTGACTCACCTTTTGTATTAGTTACGACTTATGCAATACTGCACCTATAAATATGTAGTTTCTTATTCTTTTTTTACATAGTGTGTGTGTATAAAAACTGCTAAATTACTCATCGATAATAAATGGCGGACGAAATTGTTAATTCTACAGATTTAAATATGGCAACTGGTGGAGTTGAAGATAGTGAAGTTGTAGTTAGCACGAAAGGTAGTGAAATGAAATATATAATATATAAATATTTTACATTGAACTATTTAGATCAACCTATGATACAAACAGTTGATGAAAATGGTTATGAATCTGAATGTAGTTCAAGTTCAAGAAGTGAAGCAGATATAGCTCGTTCAGCACTTGAAGTTGAAGCTGATGCATTTACAAGATTTATTGAACGACAACGTACTGAAGTCATGTTTGAATTACGTAATTTACGTTTAGGTGATCGACCAGTTACTGGACAACCTAATCGAGAACGAATTGAATCATTTCTTAATGATATTCAAGAAAGTCAACAAGT